TAAACCATGAAAATTCTAGTTATTTTGGAGGTTATTTTAAATGAGTAACTAGGAGTAAATGGAAATTCGCGAAGTTGCATACTTCCCAGCCGAATAGTTGAGTAGGTTTCTTTTTTTGAAGTTTAAAACTTCTCAAATATAATAACCTAGACAAATCACTCTTCACTCCCTTTTATGCCCACAGAAGATGAAAACCAAAAAGAACTGATGAAACCAATTGGATTTGATGATAGAACAGAATGGGTTATGGTTGAATCTGTGGAAAGAAGATATATAAAGAGATTCGAGCAAGATAGAAATTGGGGCTTCGAAAATATCACCAGAATAATGCGAGATAAACTCGGGACACTAAATTCCGCTGAAAGAGAGCAATTCTACAAAGAAGCACCAAATATTGTTTCAAGATTAAAAGAAGAAACTCAGACATTCAAAGAGGCTCGTTATGTGATTGGGGAAATATTGAGGATAGAAGGAGAGAAGGAAGATCTACATGAAAAGGATATTTATGAAATATTTGAATTGTTTGTTTTGGGAGATTTTGTAATACAGCTCTGCGCAGAAAACGCGGCTTTCTTAGAACTTAAAAGTCACGAGGAGCTTTGGATTACAAATTTTGACAATTGGCGGATGTGTGAGAAATCTGTTAACCGTTTGAAAGAAATCAAGAGAGAGAAATACACAACAAATTTCTATTTTCGACGTTTTATTTCTCAATTGAATGGTAAGGGATGGATTCATATAGAACGGCCTGACATGTTTGTATTGAGACCGAGACATAGACCATCCAATCAGTTTGTAAGTGAAGACAAATTACGGAAAGAAATACCAGGACAATGGGTAGACAATCCAAGAGCTGGAATCTGGAGCTATGAAATTGAAAATGAAGAGAATAAACATGAAATGCTTCATTTCTCCCATTACGAACAAATCCCTCTTGAACGAATAATTGAGGGATGTAAAAACCAACAAAAAAGAATGGGAAGTATCATAAAATTAAACCTGAAATATCTGGTTCCAATAGAAGATTTGGAGAAGAATAATGTTCCATTTAATATTGGATCAATTCTCGATGAGTCTTCTGAAAATAAAAGATGTATTGTATCGGCCAGATCTTATTGGCCAGATTATGAGCCCTATTCCTTCGCCAACCACATATCCCATAAGAATAATGTTCCATTTAATATTGAATACGATATGGCTTCTGCATCTATAAGATCTTCTGAGCCCTATCCCTTCCCCCACTACCTATTCCAATTAAGAAATCCTCCTCGTCCAATTTGTCAAAGGAATCATTCAGGGAAATGTCAAATGGATGGGATTAGAAAAGTGAGAGGATGGCCAGATTTACCTAAAGAATTGCACATTCCGGTATGTGGTCAAATCACACAAGATGAGGTTTCGGTTCTGAAGAGTTACATGAATCGTATAGGATCTAATAGAGGTTTTACTTTTGATTTCATGGAACAACCAGTTCTATTTCTTTGCTGCCAAAATCTCTTAGATCTTCCATTTTTGATTCTCTTGGATCATCCAAATAATTATGAAAATGGGGAAAGTATTCCTGGATTAGATTTCAACAAGAAATTTCATCATATTGAGATTGGAGTATTGAGAGAATACTTTCAAGAGTCGAAGCTCAATGAGAGGGTCTATGCTTTGATCAAGGGTCAGCATTGGACATCCTACATCCGCTTGATTGATCATCAAGGGAATCTAAAAACAAAATGGCTTGAGTTTAAGAAAGTTGCCGAATTCGGCTTCGCATTCGCTGACCAACAGCAAAAGCTAGACTTAGTAGTTTAAGATAAAGAAGTTACCAAAAGAAGTGACTAAAAAGAAGGGCCAAGAAAAATGCTGATTGCTCTGTATCCTAACCCTTGTCTTCCCAACTTTTTTTGAATTCTATCTGTCTTTATGTCACTTCTTTTTTTCTTTTCTTCGAATGAGTCAAGGATTTATTCAAATAGAACATTGAAATGAAAAACCCACCATAAAACGGTTTCCTGTTTCTTTTTCGTTCTGTAGATAGTCATTTACATCCATAGTCAAATAAATTTATTAGCCTCATTTATATGTTATTACTAAACGCAGAAAAAAAGAAGAATATGCAAAATTCACAAATGTACAAGCAACAATGAGAAAAAAAAAATGAGTACCAATAAATGAAGGAAACCCGTAAATGGAAGGAGACAATAACAGGAGAACCGGTGTATTCATAAAAATGGGGAAATATGAGAAGAATTGAGTGCTGAGCTGTGTTTTTGGGAGTTCGATGTGAAAATTGGGAAATTTTTCTTTAGAACGGTACTTTACCTTTACGGTAGCTTTGGTCTCATTTTCCTTATGGTCACGTTTTGAGCTCTGTAATATACTTTGTGATCAAATCTAATAAACATGACCTTTCTGGTGCACCGATTTCTTCATTTTTTTTGCAACACCGATTCGAGCACGCCAGAAAGCATGTGTTTACAACACTTGATCACAAAGCACACAGTGAAAAAAGTACCGCCAGAGCTGGGTAGTTTTCGAAGATCAAAATGAATTTGTCCTCACGATTAGCAAATTGAAGACGGGAGGAGTTGAGGGATGAATGGAGGAGACAGGATGAATGATCAATGATGGAGATGGAGGGGGAGAAGCCCATTGAAATGCAGGAATTGAGGACACTGAAGAGGGAGTTGACGGGACAAGACACTCACGATCTTCGTCATCTTGATCGGAGAGGCCGGAGGAAAGGTTGATGATGGCGAAATTGTGCTGATTGGGCAATTTGAATACCCCATACGGAGAAAATAAGAATGAAGGTAGTTTTCAAAAACATCCTTCTCTTACAAGAGAAAAACTTCGAGTCAAGCTGTTTTTTTGACTCGAGACCAAATCCATCTTATAGAGTCGGCCATGGGGATCTCGAATTCGTTTTTAGTTTTTATAGAACGCTTCGCAATCGTGCGATATTTGGCATAAAATATCACCTTCGTTTCTTCATATTCGAGCCTTCGAGCCCTTTATGAGGCCGTCACACGCTTCCCTAATGAATGCTTCGCAGGTCTAGTGGATAGTCTGCTAGTCTACCAAACCTATTACATCCTTTCAATCAGCAAAATTCATCAAAACCAGCAAACAATTTCATCAAAACCAGCGAATTTCCAGGCGCTACTGCAATGATGAGGACGGAGAAACAGTCCATGCTGCAAGAGTGAAAGCAAAAATGCATTGTGCCGTTAAACCGTTTGTTGTTCCAAATTGCGACGATGAACAACTGAAATCGATAGTGGAAAAGTGACCGTTGCTTTTTAAAAGAATCTTTCTTTAGCTCAAGAAATGACTTCAATAATCTCTTTCAGATGTATTCATCTTCTACGAAGTGAGCGCTACTCGGCGATCGAGGCCTGGAAAGCGCTGAAAGCTTTGCTCGTTTGTCGAGCTACTAAATTTCAATTTCAATTTTTATTTCAGCTCAACTCTCCTTATATTTATGTGGATACGAATGTGCAAAAGGTTTATCTACCAAACAAATTTCACGTCTACGATTCAAAATATCAGCTGATTCGACCAAAAGTCAAAGATGATGTGAAAGTAGGTGACGTTGTCATAAAAGTAAGTGCTTGGCTTCATAGTACTGAAATTCATATAAAAAGAGCTTTTCACTTTTCCAAATATTCAGGCGGCCTTAAGTGTCTAAGCTTTAAGTTTTGCTTTATGCGCATTTTTAAAAATACAACATCTAATGGCCACAATTTATAGCTCAATTAGTCCCTTTACCTCATGTCAGTTTCAACTGATAAGTGACAAAAGCCAAAAATTTGACCATCCATTGTAAAAAAGGCTAAAATGTTCCCAAGTTTAGATAGCACCCGATCAACCAAAAACCACACTCGAGAACATGGATGATTTCGATTCTTTCAATTTTTCCGATCTCACTGTCGACATGGGCCTAGATTCTGCTGAAAACTCAGAAAAATCAAAACCATCAGAATTTCCATCAGAACAATCAAAACCATCAGAAATCCCATCAAAACAATCAAAACCAATTCAAAAATTTATCCTTGGAAATGATGATGAGGGGCCTTTATGTTTTTTGAAAGAATCCGATATCAGAAAAAGAGCCAATGAGGCAAAGAAGCAATATCTGAAGAAACGCTTACTGTTGTCTGGTCAAGATTTGAAGCAATTTAACAAAGAAATTCCTAAAATTTATAAAGAGAAACGATTGGAGCATATTCTCTTTCAGGGTTTCGATTTTCATCGAGGCGATGATCTCGTCGATGAAACAATCGAAGGTCTTTATCGAGAGCATCTTCATTGGTATTTCTATGCACAATTGCATAAACATTCGGTGGGACTGATACCGGAAAACCCGACAAAAGACGATTATGAAATGTGGGAACGAAATGTTTGACGACAAACCCAATAATTTATCGATTTCATAGTCGATTTTACGATAAATTGTTGTCTTTTTATGGCAATTGCATGTTTTTGCATATTTCATTTCAATATTTGTGACATTTAATTCACAATCACAATTCACGAAATATCCCACTCAACACATTTGCGCTGCCCAGCGCTTTTTGGGAGCTGGCTTGTTCATGACGCCGAAGCTCATTGAGCTGAGACTCTAAAAGAAAAATCAGTTTTTTTAAACTCGCCGAAAGTAAGGGTTTAGCTTAAAGCTTAAATAATCGTGGCCTATTCTCATTGAAAAATCTTTCCGAGAAAATTAATTTATTTTGTGTTTATTTGGTAGATTTATTGCTAGAAATGTAGTATCTCAAAATCTTCGTTTTACTTCAAAGTTTTCTGTTTTCAATGTATACTTGCTTGATTTTCAGAAAGATTCTCTATAAAATAAGTTTTTATTCTAAAGAAGGCTGTACAAAATGTGCAAAATCACAATTAAAAAAATGGCACACTAAAAATGGGATATTTAGGGTTATAGCTTCCAAATTTTTTTAGGACTTTTAAAAAACTTTTTTGCTTTTTGTCATTGTAGCTGAGTTTTAGTCGACCTCTTCGATTGTGGGTCCTTGTCCTGATTGACCAGCACCTCCACGTGGGCCTCCTGATCCTCCACTAGGCATTCCACCAGCACCACCAGCACCGGCTCCCTGAAAAGTGAATGATTAGATTGTTGTTATTCTTTTTTTAGTAAATTTATGGGCATAGGTAATTAGCAAATTCAAGTAAATAGTTGGTTTTCATGCTTGATATTTAATTCAAAGCCATGCTAGTAAAATTCTTGACTTTGCTTTGCACTTCCTGACAATTTGTTTTATTCCCTAGCCCTAGTTGTAAGTTTTTAGCTTTGTAATTTTGTAAAAACTTAAAAGCTATTGATACTCAGTTGATCAATCAAAAAATCCAATTAGACTACATCAGCTAGATCAAGACAAGTGACTGAAAAGCTGGGCTTGTTAAAGAAGTTCACTTAAAGATACCTTTTCTCAAGAAATCCTACCTGATACAATCGTGTGATGATCAGATTGCAGACTTGTTCCAGCTCTTTCTGCATATGCTCGAATTCATCCTTCTCAGCCGTCTGATTCGAGGCCAACCAACGAAGCACTTCTCCACATTTCGACTCGATCTTTTGCCGGTCCTCGTTGGACAATTTGCTCTTCAGCTGAAATAAACGGATGTTTTTCAAATCATTTAAAGTTTCTATTTTCTATTTGTTTTCTCCACTCACTTGTTCATCTTCGCTCGTTTGTTTCATGTTGAAAGCGTATGATTCCAATCCATTTTTGGCCGCGATTCGATCTCTCTGCTTCTTGTCGTCGGCTCGATATTTCTCGGCATCGTTCACCATTCGATCGATGTCATCCTAAAAATGAATTAAGTCAAAAATAATTATATATAATATCCAAATGATAACAACACTTGTTTTAATGGCTTAAACCTGAAAATTTTTAATCCTAAAACCCGTCATTCGACGAATACGCCGAATTTTTTTGGCGGCGTGTCCCGGTTTGATTTGACACTGAATTTGATTGAGTCTCTTTATCGAAATGTTATTTAATGAATTTTATTTTATTTTTTATTTTTTATTTTTTAATGAAATAAAAGTATTATTTTCAGGGTTAACGCGATATATAAATACTTTGTTTAGAAATAAATAAAGTGCGAAAACGACATGAAAAATGTACCAGATAAAAGATCACAAAGTCACTTAAAATGCAACAAAGTAGCCCTTTTAAAATCAGACACGGTGGAGATCAAACGCAACTTGTCGGGAAGGGCATTCCAAACTTTAATCACACGATTTACAAAAAAAGCTCTAGAGGATTTAGAGAAAGCAGATTCGGATGCAAGATAAAGGAGCCACGCCTAGTCGCCAAAATCCTCGAGTTTAGTCAAAAAAGATTTTTAAAAAGAGGGTTTTGATGTTTTCCTTTTACAATTTTAAAGCACTCAACCAAATCTATGATAAGACGGCGTTGTTCTAAGGTTTCAAGTGAGAAAAGTTTCAATCTATGTTTATACCTGACGGATGAGTATTTAGCAAAATCAATTTTGAATAGTGCTATTCGAGTAAAGTTTTTCTGAATCTTTTCAATTTTGTCGCTTAGGGATTTAGAAATAGGTGACCAAATTAAAGAAGCATACTCGAGGATCGGGCGAATGTAGATAATAAAGCATTTCCTATACATATATATATCAATATCTGGTATGCAAATGGATCTAAGAATTTTGCCCGCACAAAAGGACGCCTTCTTACATATTTTTTCTATGTGTGTAGAGAAATTTAGAGGAGGTGATATGTAGACTCCTAAATCGCGAAGAGATTGATTGTTAGCTATGGACTTTATTGCGGCATCACCAACTTTAAGGGGGACTTTTATTTTACCTGTACTAAAATGAATAGATTTTGAGAGAGAAAGCTCTAAACCCCAAATATTGGACCAAATTTCAACTGTGCTCAGATCTTTTTGGATTTTATTTTCTAATTTAAAATTGAAAGATTTCATAAAAAAATAGAAGAAAATAAAAAAACAATAAAAAAAGCTCAAAAATGAAAATAATGATAAAAACTGAGTGCTTAATAGAGTGTTAAAGTTGCGCAAATGACCCTGCTGCGCAAATAAAATGGCGGAAATTAGCCTACCCCCTAATGGCGCGTCTTTCAATATTTTGCTCAAATTTCTTGCAAAAACGGGATAGTTTTACTTGGGCATTTCTTACTGAAGGATGATCTAAAGGATTCCCAAAAGAAGATGAGTTTAGAAAACAGTTTAGCCTAAGTTTAGCCCTAGCAATGTGTGAAGGACATCTATTGAAATTATGAGGGCAACTTTGCTCAATAGATTTTAAGAAGAGACTTGTGAAAATGTCATAATCCGTGTTTAGATCCTTATTGGTGTCATAAAAAAAGTAGAATTTAGTATTGGATAAAAAGCTAACGCCGCCTTATCGAGATTTGCACAAAAATGAAAACACCTGGGCTTCTTGTTGATAGGGGCGGGCTGGTTGATCAAAATTTTGAGGCTGATGGCGCTATGATCGGCTCCAGGAAGAGGCGCAAGTTTCTTGACATCCCGAATTCGTCTCCCATCATTTGCTATCACGACATCTAAAGTAAAGAGAGAGCTCAAGAAATTAGGAAAGCGATTGAAAATATGTAAACCGTTCAGAATCATAAAATCTTTAAGCATCAATGAAGGTCTGTGATACAAAGCGTATACGGGGGTCGAATTTTTCCACATGATTTTACAATTTAAATCGCCCAAGAGAATGTTGCAATCATATTCGTGAAAATGAAGAACTAATAGGTTAAAAATAGACTCTGTGGCTGAAAATGAAATATCCGGGGGTCTATAAATTCAGAACAGGCGGAAAGAATAGGGATACACGAAATCAACAATAATAATTTCGCAACCAAGGACAGATTTGCTAAGAATAGTGTTGAAAGGTGCTTTCAATGAGTTGTTGCGGCTTCCTCGCGGTTTTGTAGAACTCGATGTGATAGCAATGCGTGCCTTTGCGCGTTTTTCTTTTGTATTCATACCGCGTTAACCCTGAAAATAAAACTTTTATTTCATTAAAAAATAACAAATAATAAAAAAATAAAATTCATTAAATAACATTTCGAAAAAGGGACTCAATAAAATTCAGTGTCAAATCAAACTGGGACACGCCGCCAAAAAAAATTCGGCAGACCTGGTCAAAACAGCGCCAACAAAATAGCGCCCATGTGCAAACAGCGCCCAACGAAACAGTACCCTTGTACAAACAACGCCAAAATCAAAAATTTTATTCTTTTTCGAGTTAGATTCGGTTTTTTTCTGCTTTCACAGGTTTCTTGTTTTTTCAACTAGAAAACACCTTAATACACCCAAATAACCGGCGGTTGACAAGTGCTTAAATTGTCCTTTAAAACTAGATTTTGTGGCGAATTTGACCTGAAAATGTAGGATTTGTTGTTTTTTGTTTGTTTCGTTCGTTTTTCTTTGATTTCTTGGTTTTATTTAATGCTTTGAGGAAGGTGCGAAGGATCGATCACCGGAATCGACAAAGGACCAACAACGCCTAATCAGGTAAAGTGTTTCCTATAGCTTCTCCCAAAACCAGAATCAATGAATATCGGAATAGAGTGGAGCGAAGAATTACTTAAATATTATTTAGATCTCTACTTTGAATTCTCGGCACTTTAATACAGTTCCATTTCGAATTCAGCTTTTCATTTGACGAGAAATAAGCGGCTCTGAACTTTATCGTCTCTTTGTATAAAATCGATCAGATTTGATTGAAATCCTTCACACCACTCATCTACTGAGGATTTTCATGCTGAAGAATGGTGCTTTTGGGCAGAGTCAAAGCCTTGACCCTGAAATTAGCTCCGAAAAGTGAAACAAGGCCGAGCTGGCCCTTTATCTTCTTTTTCATTCACTTCATTCAATCAATATGAAAAGAAACAGATAAGGCTTTTGTTCGATTCTTTCACGAAACTTTTCTTCACAGCACATTATTGCAGGCTTTAAATGAGCAAACCTTCTAAGAATGTTAAAACTAGATCTAACAATCTTCAATATAATACTTTTTCACCTTTTGACCAGTCAATATAATAATCTATCTGCATATCTATTATCTATATCATCTTTTTTGCTGAGCCTTCAGTATTATTATGCCAAAGTTTTTTGCTCTTCATTTTAACTATAAACTTTAATTTATTCTGAACTTATTTTTATTCCCAAGGAAATTTGCAGCTTTAGCGGCCCACGATAAACTTTTTCATGAACTATGGCAACAAACCAGAGATTCCAAGAACGACTTATTGGTCGAGGAGCAATGGGGGGTGTGTATGAATTGGAGGGACATAAACCGTTGGTTATTTTATTGAAAAATACAGTGTCTAAAAGAAAAGAGGCTGTAGTGTACATAAACATGAAGTGATACCAAAAATATGTTCTTTATTGTCGTTTAACACATTCACGACAAAGGGACCCACCTTTGAGGTCCTCAGGTACCCATCAAGTACTCCACAACTTTTGGTAGCTTTCATTTTTAAATTCTCTCAACTATTTAAACTCAAAGCTTGCCTACAAATACTTTTGAAGAACAAGATGTTTATTGGTGAGACTAAAGCTTTGCTCAAACATATTAGAAGAAATAAGATACGGAAATTAATGGATTCTTCCTTTATTTAGCCCAGCTGTGATCAAATATATGTTTTGTGGCAATGGTGAACAATTGAGGATCTTCAAAAATGAATGTGAAGCTTTGAAGAAGATCAATCATGACAATGTTGTCGGATTGTATCGATATATAGAAGAAGGAATAAGAGTGGGGATTGTAATGGAATACTGCCAGAGGGGATCGCTCCGAGATGGTTCAGCTTCAAAATACAGGGTGCCCAATAATTACGGCAACAAAGAAATTCGCTGATTTGAAGCACATATAGTGTTAATTTAAGTAAAAAACGATAACAACATTATTCTTTTTTTTTTAACTTTTTAACAAAACAAATTACTTTTTCTCAAACACATCTCCTTTCGCGGCAATACAGGCCTGAAGGCGCTTTGGGAATGCATCAATGCTGGCAGATAGGTATGAAACGTTCAGCTCATCCCATGCCTTTTTCAATGATTCCTTTAAAGAACCGACTGTGAAATGGGCCTTTTTTGGAAGCTTTTGTCTCCAAAACAGACCAAACACTGTAATCCAAAGAATTAAATTCTGGGCTGGATGGAGGCCATTGGTTGAGAGTGATGAAATCGGGGAAATTTTGCTGACACCAATCCTGAACAGCTTTGTGAGCTTTTTTCCCACAGCGGAAAGAAACTGAAATTTTGAGTACTTATAAGCTTTCATTTTCAGATCTTTCTTAACAATTGTGCCCATTGATCCCTTTGAAATGCCCATCGAATTTGCCATTTTTCGCTGGGACGTCGCTTTTCGCTGCTTGTTGTTATGTCGCACTCGTTCGGGGATCCTCTTGTAATCACCGTTGCTTTTTTGCCACGCCCTGGACGATCCGAATTTGATCCCAAAGATTTATATCGGTTAATCGTTTTCGAAACCAAACTTCTATCAACCAATAATCGACAAGCAATTTCGATCTGACGGACTCCCTAGCGATGAAGATGGATGATCGAATCTCGGTGTGGCGACTTTTTCGCCATTCCTAAAATATTCCAAAAAAAGCTATAAAATTATATTGGAAAACATCATAACTAATAGCAAACATCAAAAAAAGACATAACTAACCTAAAAACTAGACTAAATAACTGATTAATACAGTTGGTACGTGTTGCCGTAATTATTGGGCACCCTGTATATTGTCATAGTTCACAGTTTAGTAATCTTCAACCC